AATGAAGACATCAATCAGGAAGTGAATGAAGAGTCGATTGAAAGCAACGAAGAAAGAGTCATTGATTTAGTTTCTGACAATGAAGACAATCAGTCAAATAGAAATTTAATTTCAATTCAAACCAATAACAGTCAATCGATGGCCAAAAAGAGACGCAAACGAAAAGCACAAAATATTACGATTGAAACGAAGTTAGATGTGATCGATTGGTACAACAATAACGGGAAAAGTAAACGCAAAACCGCGAAACATTTCAACAACAAATACCCCCGCGAATCGATTATAATATGGACCCGTAATGAAGACAATTACCGGCGAATAGTAAACAACAGAGAGTTTAGTGTTCGGACAAGACGTCGATTACCAAAAGAGAGAAAACCAAAATTCCCTGAACTCGACGCTAAGGTGTTTGAGTGGTTTAAGGGTCAGAGAGAGGCGAAAATTGCGGTCAAAGGATATCAAATTCAAGAGAAAGCACTCGAAATATTCGGGCAAATGAATGACACAACAGAGAGATTTAGTGCATCGGTTGGATGGCTTTTACGGTTTCTCGGCCGCAATAGACTTACGTCAAGAAGCGTGACGAGTGTCGGACAGAAGGTGCCCGAAAATGCTCCCGAAATTTGCCGACATTTCATTGATAGGATTGAAAATTTTCGAGTGCAACAAAACGGAGAGAAAGTAACCATTATTAACATGAATGAGATGCCCGTGTGCTTTGATTCACCACAAAGTCACACATATGATACAATCGGCGCTAAAACAGTTCAACTCAAGACCACAGGTAATGACAAACTTCGCTTCACATTAATGTTATGCGCTGATAACGACGGCCGTAAATGTCAGCCAACAATAATCTTCAAAGGTCTGAAGAAAGTGCCGAAGAAAGAGAAGTTCCCGAAAGGGATTAAAATATTGGTTAGTGAGAAGGGCTCAGTCAACAAATGCCTTATGAATGAATGGAGAAATGGCGTCTATAAGTGCAGACCCGGTGGCCTCTTCTTCAACTTGAATATGAAGAGCCCCACCGGTCCGAAGTATCGAACACTTCTGGCCATAGACGCGGCGACTCCTCACAGAGATAAGGAATTTATAAAGACAATGGGGAAACAGCACAACACTAAAGTCGAGATCATTCCGTCGGGAACGACACCTCTGTTACAGCCCGCAGACGTCTCGTGGAACCGATCGGTTAAGGCAACGATTAAACGATTGTGGTCTGAATGGATGGCTTTGCCCAAAGACCCAACAGAACTCACAAAGAAAGGCAACGTAAAGCGGCCCTCATATGCATTGGTAGCCAATTGGTGTCTAACCGCTTGGAATCAATTACCGAAACAGCAGATTATTGATAGTTTTAAGTACTGTGGTATGGGTTCAGTACGGGAAGACTCAGCACTTCATTCCAGACTAAGAGATATCATAACGACAGGAACTCTCAATGATTCCTCAGATGAAGCGACAGGTCTTACGGACACAGAATCAGATTACGAAGAATCTGAAGAAGTAATCGATTTCATCGACAATTTCTCTGAAATGACTGTTTCTTAAATTGATTGATATGTAATGATTTGCTATTGAAATGAATAAATACTTTTGAATTGAATTTCACATAATGTTACATGTAATGGTATCTGAGTTTTAGTAGAGGGGTGTAATACTATCTAGATAACATTACACTGATTCTGGAAATTTACATTTTGACCGGATTTCACGTAGTATTACATGTAAAGTTTTACGGATAACTACGGTACTCATATTTCTTAATCTCTTAATGTATTTACCACTCTCCCATTCTCTCTCCGATTTTCTCTCTCTCTCACTTTCTCTCTCTCTCTCTCTCTCTCTCTCTCTTTCTTTCTTTCTTTCTCTCCATCGCTCTCTCCCTTAACATTAGCCTCAATTCACACACCCTTTCCCTTTCAAACCCAAACACCACAATCAAAATCAATCGCTCAAACAATAATAAATGTGTATTTTTCTTATTGTTTTTACATTTTTCAATTTTAAACCAATTGTATTCTCATTGGTATTTAGTTAATATTCAAAATATTAACATGCAAAAATTTCCTTATAAAGTACACTAGCCTCTAATATTATTAATATTAAACTGTATAGTACATGTACAGTAAAACAGATGTATTTCTAATGTATACTGTATTTTACAGTATGTTATAATTAATTACATAACATTCCGATACCTGTGGCATAAGTTATCGAGAGTATTAAATAACAAAATAGCAGCTCAAATATATTGGTGATATATACATGGTGATGTATAATACAAGTTTAAAATATGGTACTGTATATAAAAATATAATTTTCTGTATTTATTATCTATTAGTTGTTTTGATAACGTATGGAGAGATTGCATGTCATGTCAAACAACAACAACACAACACATTGTAAAAAATGAGATATTTTTAATATTTTATATACAGGTATACAGTGTATAATGTATGGTTAGTTTTGGTGTATATTTTATTAAAACGTTATATATCCATGTATTAAGAAATTCAATAAGATTTTTACAATTTATATCTCCTCTCATATTTTATTTGCATTTTAATCATAAATAAAACAAAATATGTATACAAATAGTTTTGACATCAATTTATACATACATAATATTTTTCTCACTACTCGTCGATCTTGTAATCAACGAAAATAAATATATTCACAGCAATCATACATACAGTGAAGTCTGGTTTATAATTCACTTCATGTTTGCGAGAGAGAGAGAGAGAGAGAGAGAGAGAGAGGGAGAGAGATGCTATTATATCAAGTCTGACATTCAATTATTTATCAAGTTAGATACTTTTAACATGTTGTAGATATGCAATTAAACTCTTTCCAGTCTCTCTCTCTCTCTCTCTGAGAGAGAGAGAGAGAGACTGGAAAGAGTTTAATTGCATATCTACAACATGTTAAAAGTATCTAACTTGATAAATAATTGAATGTCAGACTTGATATAATAGCATCTCTCTCTCTCTCTCTCTCTCTAATGCCACAAAAAATTATAAAATGATATTGGTTATTTGTGTTCATAATAACGGGTGTAGACTAGACCTGCAACTTTTTTTCCCCGTAAAATATTTCCCCGTGGATTCCCCGTGTCCTCCACGGGGAAATTACGGGGAAGGGAAATAAGAATGACTTTACGGGGAAGGGAAGGGATTCCCCGTAACAAGTAGAGGGAATCCCCGTAACAAAATTTCCCCGTAAATTCCCCGTAATTATGCACAAACATTTTGCAGTAAATTCTTTATTTTGCAAAATCTATTGAAATAAAGTCAATTTTGCATCAAAGGCTGCCATCAAAACACACACATATGTTTGAATATCACTAACAATACTACTGGCAAATATAGAAAGTGTTATTTAACGCAAAATATGAGAAAAAGGGGGGTTAAATAGGGAAAAGCACCAAAAATATGACTACGGGGAAATTACGGGGAATCCCCGGGGTTCCCCGTTAGTCTATACGGGGAAGGGAAGGGATTCCCCGTAAGCCTAACTTACGGGGAACGGGGAAGGGAAGGGAAATGAAAATTAGCAAAAGTTGCAGGTCTAGTGTAGACTGTGTGGCACAACGGAATGCTACAAGAGTTATGTAACCGTAACCTTACATATGATAAACACCGGAGAGTATTAAATACAAGCACTTATCACTTGTTATTGAATATATTTATATACATTGAGAGCACATAAATATACAGGTATTGGTAGGAAATGGTATCAAAATAATAATATTGAAGTATAACTCAAAACATATGCCAAAACATGAAACGTACCATAATTAATTGACGTTTGAATTAAATTATCATATTGTGGTGTGAATTTGCGAGAGAGTAACTGAGAGAGTAACTGAGAGAGAGAGAGAGAGAGAGAGAGAGAGAGAGATCTCTCTCTCTCTCTCTCTCTCTCTCTACTATTGCCGACACTTTATGTCTTATTTTATGTACAAATTATACCAAAACTGTTTACTTCACATGTATTTTTTTACCACTCGTGTATTTGTTTTTGGCAAATTTTAAACGTGTTTAGTTTTAATGAACTGATATTTCTTAGCATTAAAATAACATATTTTGACAAATATTTTTAATCACATATCGAAATATGATTTTATGTTTTTATTAGGAAATTAGTGGCGAAATACTGGTGAAAACATTGACATGGTAAATATTTTATCGCAATTTGTTACAAATAGTTAGAATCTGAAGTTGGTTAATTACCAATGCATTTACCAATATAAAATAAACATATTTATGTAAAATTTAATCAATTTTAACTTATTTAAAGAAAATTAATAATTATTTTGCAAAATCTAAATCTACAAATATAGACTGGGAAGTTGAACACCATTTAAAACACCTATATCAATTGTTTTTGTATATAATAAACATTTTAAAAATTTATTACAGTTTTTGATATAGTTGTTTTGTAATTAGAGTCTAATTTTTTTAACCATACAAATAATTAACAAAAAAATTACTTAAATACTAATTTATTAATAATCAAAACATAGAAATTAAGTACTAATGTTAATCGTATGAGAATTGTAATAATTATTTGATAAAATTATTTATTA